CTAGCATCGGCAGCTCAGTGAGTCGGCAATGGCAGTGTGAAGACGATTATCAGATGCTGCTGAAACGAATGAAACGCGCCTATAGATGCCTTGATGCTACGTAAGCTAGCAGAAGTTAGTCCAATACATGTAGGTAGTAGAGATGTCATTCGGTGACATTTCCGACGAGCATGTACCTGCCATCGAGTCTGGATTCGTCCTTTAAAATCTCTTCGAGCAATATTGTAATTGTCACCAATCATCTAGAAGCATTGGAGTCGATGGCAAGGCATACTACGCCATCATCACTGATCGCCGATCATTGATCGGGCAAATCGACTGGAGTAGCATTGCTGTCCAGTGGACTGGTGGACGCTATTCACCGTGAATTTCACCGGATCAGCGCCGTCGTGGACTCTTCCGTCCACATGAGGCTGATCGCTTTCCCGTCTGGGGAGGTGCGCAGCTGATCTCATAATTTTGGCAAAATGATTTTACTGAGCACACTTTGATGGACAAGTAAAGTTTTCGGTGGAGAACCTCTCTTGCCTTCCCATTTTGATTTTAACGGTACTGAAAAGATATTTTCACTGGCTCAGTTGCTGTAAACCCAGTGATTATACTTAATAATGTGCTAGTTCATATTAAAAAAAATATCATGTACTGAATTAAAATAATCTCAAACAATAGATAAATTTCTACCGCCCCAATTGGTAATGGCCAATTGAGTCAGAGCACCTTGGCAATCAACCCTTTACCGTAAACCTGAGGCCAGAAGCCTGACGTGAAAAAAAAAACTCTTCCCTTCCCTTCCTGCGCTGCATCCTCACCATCGATCGCCAGTCGAGCGGTTCAACTCCACCAGTGGGCTTTCACTTGACATTTATCAATCGCCAATAACAATGGCGCAGTCCCCACTGTCCCCCACGGAGCATGTCTTGCGCTCTGCAGATGTGGATGAATTAGCGCAGCAGGTTACGGACGAGAACGAGAGCAAGGCCGAGGCCAAGAAGCGTCGTCATCGTGAAAATATGGCACGAGGCAGGTCTCGCCACAACGCACTAATGGATTCAATGCGGAAACAGTACCAAAATCTACACAAGAAGCTGGAAACAGGCATGGTGGCATGGAGAATGCGACGAGCTACGAATAATTCGAGCCAGAGCGAGCAGAATCCGCCTTCGAAGGAGTTAATGGCTCAATATATCGATGCGGTAGAGACAGAGAACGCCATACATCGCGAGAATGAGGCGCTGGCGCAGCGACTGGAGCAAATGGCCATCTTCGAGACGACATTACGGGTCGATACACCAGAGGTGGCGGACCCGAACTTGCACACAGAGCGACCGAGGACAGTACAAGCTCTGAACCGACCGGGATTCTGGTCCTATTTTGCAGAGGACACGGAGCCATTTTACTACGAACCGATGCCTGCCGCGACTTGTTACAACCTGATTCGAGAAAAATATCAGACGATAAAGAGCCACCACTTTATGTTTATGAGGAAACAATTAAGCGAGGTGCCTGTGCAGTTCTTCGGGTGGACAGTTCAGAGATACTTAAGTGAGAGACGGAAGTTAGAGTTCCATTTCATGAAGCAGATCCCGTGTACAGACAGCGAAATGTTAGCGGAGGAACTGGCGATTGAAGGCTGGAAAGTCTTTAATGACCCGGAGATGTACAGGAGATGCTATCGCTCGGCAATTGATGTCCGAGTACTGCAGAGAGTTGACGCATTTAATACCATCCTCATGCGTAATTCTCCCGACGCCACCCGCTCGCATCGCATCCGCCACCTCAATATTTCGTCCAAAGTCTCAGATGAGGATGAGTATGGCCACAAGTCGCTGTCTATCCTCACGGTTGTCGTACCGCCACCAGAAGATCTGGCAAATTCTAACAGAAATGGTGTAATTTATCTACGCGATGCGTTCACATA